TACTATCAAATGAAAAAAAAAAATTTGTCCCGACATCTTATCTTCTATGTGCAAATCGCTGTCGAAAATTAAAAAAAAATGTAATGTTCGCGATAAAAATCACCTTCTATCGGGATGTTTTTTGTACTTAAAACTGCCATAACTTTTTCAAATATTAACAAATCAAAATAATATTTTTTTATATTGAAACCTTAGATAATTACCTTTCATTTAATATAATTTTTTTGAAAATCTAACANATTACCTTTCATTTAATATAATTTTTTTTGAAAATCTAACATTTATTTTGCTCACAGGGGGGATTTAAAATTGCAACTTTTTTACAAAAACTAATTTTTTTAACTTAATTTTTGAAAATGTTCCAGAAATACTGCGTCCTTTAAACATATATCAAATTAAAGCTTATTTTATGTACTACAAAATGAAAAAAAAAAATTTGTCCCGACACTTTTTTTTCTACATTTAAACGGCTGCCGTAGTTAAAAAAACACTATTTTTGTGTTAAAATTTTCGATTTTCGATTTTAAATTTTCAACTTAAAAATGCTATAACTTTTTGAAAAATGTATATATCAGCACAAATTTTTTTTTTCTAAATACATTATAAGTACATCTTTCATTTGACATACTTTTTATTAAAATTGGACAATTTCCCCTTATATAGGGGGCGTTCAAAACTTAAAATATTGTAAAAAACATAGATCTTTTTCAACTGAACTTTTGAAAATGTTCCGGAAATACTGCGTCCTTTAAACATATATCAAATCAAAGCTTATTTTATGTACTATAAAATGAAAAAAAAAAATTTGTCCCGACATCTTATCTTCTATGTGCAAATCGCTGTCGAAAATTAAAAAAAAATGTAATGTTCGCGATAAAAATCACCTTCTATCGGGATGTTTTTTGTACTTAAAACTGCCATAACTTTTTCAAATATTAACAAATCAAAATAATATTTTTTTATATTGAAACCTTAGATAATTACCTTTCATTTAATATAATTTTTTTTGAAAATCTAACATTTATTTTGCTTACAGGGGGGATTTAAAATTGCAACTTTTTTACAAAAACTAATTTTTTTAACTTAATTTTTGAAAATGTTCCAGAAATACTGAGTCCTTTAAACATATGTCAAATTAAAGCCTATTTTATGTATTATAAAATTTAAAAAAAAAAATTTATTCCGACGACCTATCTTCTATTCGCAAATGGCTACCGTATTTAAAAATATGCTATTTTTGTGTTAAAATCCTGGGTTTTGTATTTTATTTTATTTTAAAATATCTTATTAGGGGAATACACTGACTTTTATGAATATTATATAATTTAATTGACATAGAATAAAGTTCATAAGACATAAAAAATTAAACTTATTAAATTTTTTTACTTTTTTAAAGTCGAAAAAGTATTTTTAAATTTGAGTTAGCTTAAATAGCCAATTTTATCATCAAACCCAACCCAACCCAAACGAACAGTTGCCGAATCGGTAACACTTGTGTCTCTCACGCATAGGGTACGAGGTTTAAAACCGTCAGTGGCAATTTATATTTTGCATTTTTTTTTTTTAGTTAGAATAAAATTTTCAAATCATTTGATATTTATCTCATTTAGATTCAATAACTTCAATAAATATAATGTATTCTATCACTATAGTCTCCCCTCGTGAGAAGAAATTTATATTCATGTTAATATTATTTTACTATGTAGTTTTTTTTGTGGCTACAATTTATTTTGCCAACCCTCACTAGACCTACTTTTTTCAGCGATACGTCAAATGATTACAATTCGTATTTAGTTTAAGTTATTACTCTTGAAAATCGAAAAAATATTCCTTATTCAAATAAAATGTAGCTTAATCAGCTTTTTCCATACAAACAATTAAAATCATTAATTTCTAATATTCTTAAAGTATTTATTGTCGAATTAGATTTGATATGATAAAAGTTTTCAACTACAAAAGTAAATAATTTTACTTTGTAATTTATTAATTTTGTATCTCTATTTGTGTGTGCTACTACCAGTCTATAACATTCCAAATTTTTTTGTAATATGTTGCTATATAAATCATAAATTTAAAAAAAAATGATTTTTAGTTTCACCTGAATTTAACGATGGATTTTTACAATTATTTTCAAATATTATAATACGCTCAATTGAGTAAATTTTTTTTTGGTTTTTTTAGTTATATAATCATTAAAATTAATTAAATTCTGAATATTTCCATTGTAGAATTTTTTTAAACACCAAAAGTTAATTAGAAATGATTACTATGATTTTTATTTAAGTGATCTAATACAATAAAAATGTAAAAAAAATCGAACTTTTCTGATAAATGTACTGTAAATAGTAATTATAAAATTTCCTGATTGCATAGGTCAGGTGGGGTAATTGTAAATGATTCTATCAAAGTGATTTTTAACTTGTATTTATGACTGTTTACTTACATAAACATTTATTATATTATTATACATATGTACTAATGGACATAATAAATATAGTTTTAATGTAGTTTTAGTAAATTTTTAATTTCAAATCTAAAAAAGCGTAATTTACAATTACCATAGACATTTACCATTACCCCTTTGATATTGGGGTAAATGTAAATGAATGTTTTTTCAGTGCACTTTTTCTAAATGATAATACAAATGACATAACCTCTAAAATACTGTAATAAATATGATTGATGGGAGAAAAAATATTAAATAATAATTATATCGAGTTCAATGGTTATAATTTATTAATTTTATTAAAATACCAGCCTCATTTACAATTACCCCTATTCACAATTACCCCTTCTGACCCTATTAATCTTAACATTTTCATTTTTTTCTATTTAATATGTCAATTTCAAACTTGCAAGTTGAGCTAAAAGTTATGGTAATAAATTCATTTTTGTTCTATTAAAACTTTCACTTTAAAGGACAAAAAAAATGGTTCAAAATGATTACTTTTAACATATTAAAAATCAATATCAATAATAATTTGAAAACAATTAATTTTAAAAATTATATAACATATAATTTAAAGAAATACTAATCTGGGTATAATTTAGGAAATAGAAATTGATGTTGCTTTTGTCCATCAATTTTTTTAAATTAAACACTATCTACAAATTTGCATCGAAGCGTTTCTTATGATAGTGATTTTAATCACTGTCAGATTAAATCTATACTGGTCCTAACTATGCAACATCCCCACTATGCCGCGACCCAACTGTGCTGGTTTTTTTTTTTTAATATGTATTGCTTTCTTAGTTTATTTTCAAAATATATTTTTATGATTTTTCACTAGAGATGGGATTTATATGCATTTATACATTTTGTTGTTGGAATATACAGTATGTAGAAGTATTTTTCCTTTTAGGGGGAATGAACCCTTCTTAATCCCTTTCAACACTAATACCAGTTAGATCACATTTCTATGTTTTCAATCCTATTAATTCAAATTTGAATTGCTGATGAAATATTTGGAAAAACTTTTCAAAATGTATAAATGCATATAAATCCTTTCTCTATCACTTATAAAATAGAAAATAAAATTATTTTTTATTACATTTAAAAATAACTATTTTGTAGCAGTCTCTTACAAAAAATTTTGAAGAATATAATAATTTTATGATAGGTGCTCATTGAGTTACAAGTATAATAACGCATAGATTGAGTGTGTAGCATAGGTTGGTGCTGCCCATACTAATGTTTGTATATTCTACCCATATTCCATACCCATTCGATATATTAAAATGCTTGTAACTTATTAAGTATTTTTTGTATTTATTTAAGGAACAATCTTTTTGTTCTAACTTATAGTTTTAGTAGTTCAATAATAACAAAAAAAGTAGTTAATAAAGATATAATCAATCAAAATAAAACGTATAAAAAATTAATACACTTAAAACCAAATAAATAAATAATACACAAAATAATAACTTAATGTCACAAACGTACCACACGGAAAGAGATTACCTTCGGTACTCCCGAGGTCTTCTCTTTCTCTCTCCTTTTTAATTCATTCCGTTTCATCTTATATACTAAAATATTTTGTTTGTCTTTTTATAAAATTCATATAGTAATCATTTTCAAAAATGTTTATAAATATTTACTTCTTGGTTTAGTAACAATAATTTGGGGAATTACAATTAATCTAAACATTACATAAGTGTTCTACTTCTAGGTTTACAAATAATAGACTATATTATATTTTTGTAATAATAGATTAAGAAATTCATAGTTAAACCAAACATTACAAAAATGCTTTGTTTTCAGTTTTATAAAATAATGACCTATATTACACTTTTGTCTTAAAATACCTAAAATTGTTAATGATCCATTAAAAATTTTTATAAGAATAAGGCTAAAAAAATTGAAAATAATAGAAAATTAAAATTTTATATTTTTATTAAATAAATATATACATAATAAAAAAAACCAGCATAGGGAGGTCGCAGCACAGTGGTGACGTGGCAAAGTTGGATTAAGTATAATGATATCTGACAGTGATTAAAATCACTATCAAAAAAAAACACTTCGATGCAAATCTTTAGATAGTGTTTAATTTTAAAAAATTGGTGGATTATTCCAAAAGCTTCATANTTTGGTGGATTATTCCAAAATCTATATGATCTGCTATTTCCTTATTAATATTCTGATTAAGATAAAGTATGGAAAATGAAAAAGGGATATAAATATTATATCTTATAAAAAATTGTGTTGAACCATACTCTTTTTAATAAGTTATAACATTATAAAGTTAAAAATGTAAANTAATAAGTTATAGCATTATAAAGTTAAAAATGTAAAAATAAAATCGAGAACTATTCACACAAAAATAGAATTCGGTAACTATTTTCACTATGAAGACAAAATAAAATCCGAAATTTTTTTTTCCATAATAAAGTAAATTACATTAGCTTTAATTTAATTTAAATTTTAAATTATAAAAGTGTCAGACTTTCTGGAACACTTTTAAAAGTTAATTTTATGTGAAAAAGTTGTCATTTTAAATCCCCCCTGTAGGCAGGTAAAGGGTTAGATGTATAAAAAATAAACCAAATGATAGGTAATGACATTATACATCTATAAACAAAAATTATATTGATTACGTTATTTTTAAAAAAATTATGGCAGTTTTAAGTAAAAAAAAATGAAAAATGTCGAAAATTAGCGATTTTTAAATTTGTAATTTTTTTGGAGATTTACCCCATTTACAAGGAAAGAGGAAATTTTTTTCAATTTTTGAGGGTAATGTCTTCGACTAGATACGATTTGTGATCTTTTGACGTATTGTTGAAAGAAATCGGTTCAGTGAGAGCTGAGAAAAAGTGGTAACAGACACAAAAAAAAAANGTTCAGTGAGAACTGAGTAAAAGTGGTAACAGACACAAAAAAAAAAACATATCACAGTAAAACCAATACCTTCTCAGCTTTGCATCAAAGCTAAAACTATTTATGTACTACAACATATATCTATTTAAAATATTATTAACACCAGTATGAATAATTATTATTTATTTAATATTCTATTATTTTAGAGTATATAGAGTACGATTTTAAAAAAAGAGAACACGAGGTAGGTGAAATGAGGAGATCAGTAACAATAGACGAGATCGTATTTGGAGAGGTGGAGAGTTTTACGTATTTAGGGTCAGTTGTGCAAAAGAATGATGGTATTGACGAGGATGTAAGACACACGATTAAGTGCTGGTAGTTAAAATGGAAGAATGCGTCTGGTGTCTTATGCGATAAAATAATTCCAATGAGGATGAAAGGTAAATTCTACAAGACTGTAGTGAGACCAGCTATGATGTATTGTTCAGAGTGTGGGCGGTTGATAAGAAAGTAAAGCAGAGAATGAGTATAGCAGAGATGAGAATACTTAGATAAGATAGATGAGTGGAGTGACTAGAGAAGATAGGACAAGGAACGAGCATATAAGAGAGAGTATAGGTGTAGCGTCAATCGTGTATAAGATGAGAGAAAATAGACTTAGATGGTTTGGTCATGTTATGAGGAGAGAACAATTGGAAGCTATAATAACAGTTATAGAAATGAATGTTGAAGCAAGAAGAGTTAAAGGAAGACTAAAAAAGAGATGGAGGAACGCTATTGAATGCGATATGAGGACAGCTTATGTGAGCGTAGAGGATGTGGAAGATTCCAATTTTGATATTTAATATTATTATATAAAATCTTATACTATAGTAATTAATAGTTATAGTATTGTTTATTAATATTGAAATAATAGAAATGCTTGTTCATATTATATATCAGTCATAACATTTTAAAATTGATTTTTTACATTATTATATTTTTAGAAACCCTGTTCAACATTTTTGTCATTTGAAGAATTAGAGGAATTAGTTATGAAAGCTGGACATATTGAACCACTAGCATTGTATGACCCAAGAATAGAACCAATATTAGAACAATTATTAACTGGACCGCAGTGGTTTAATTCATTACAAAAACTCCTTGTATCTATGTCATCTCCTGCTAGATTAACTATTAAGTGTCGTCTTTATAGTAGTAATAACAGTGATCACCAATATCTAGTAGTTTTACCAGCTAAATCAAATAATAGTGAAGTGGATGTATTTATACTAATAAATAATGGAAATATAAATAAAATGGCACATTCTATTAGTATTGTATATCGAAAAATAGCTCATAGCTCTGAAGATCTTGAAATAATAGTTGAAGCAATTGGACGATCTATATGCTACCTCGTTTGGCGTGCAGCAACTAATTCAACAGTTAATATAACTACGTCTAATTCATTGTAGTATATAAAGCCTATTTTTATATAAACTTTTACAATAATTTAAACTAAAAACAATTTTTTTTTTTGTAAAATTAATATTTAATTTAACTATATTTGAAAACATTTAATTATTAATAAACATTGTGTGCCATTAAAAAAATATGTATTTATTTTTATAAACATTTATTATCTAGTCGTTTATAATATTTTAGTACAATGACTGTGGGTTATTATTAATGAAATGTAATAATTCCTATTTTATTTAACACTTGTTTTTTTTTTTTTTTTACAAACAATTATTTCACATCACTGACTGAATAAACTAATTAAAATATTATGCAAGTGGTATGTTATTAAAGTTTAATTATTAAGTTTATTTTTAACCTAATAGTATGGTGTTATTTAATATTGAATTTTTTTTGATAAGCCATCGTCCATAATATTTTAATGTTAAATTAATTTAATGTTTTATATCATATTTGTGATCTTTTTATACTACTGTTATTAAAATCTAATTCAGTAATGGCATCCAAGTGAATTATTTATTTTTAGTTAATTTATATGGAAGTAATTATATAGTACAATAATAGTGTAAGATACTGTTAATGCTTTTTTAACTAATCTTAATTAACTTGTTACCCATATTTTTATTATGTACCTTTTTAAGAAACCACCCATTATTAATTTAAGTATATCAAAAAAATGTTTATTTTTATTAATAAAAAATAATTTTGTTGTATTGATTTCAAAATAATTATTTTTTTATTATAGCTATTATAATTAATAGTTTTTATTGAAAAATATCAATTTTCAATTGTGTTATATGTTATCAATTTTACTTAAGTACAATTTTAAAGTTACATAAGAAAATGTTAATTATTTTTTTAAATAAATAATTTGAATTATTGTTTTATCATTTTATCAAAATTATTTTTCATTATGATTTTTCATAAATATATAAGTAAAAAAATTCTATTACACGTTGATAATCATTTATGGTTTCCATAATATTAATTGTGTCAAGTGGAAGTTTAGTAAAGGGTGGCCGACCTCAAGTAGTTGAGATTAAGCCGAGGAAGAAGAGGAGTGTTAGGTTAGGCGCAGTGGAACACTCAGTTACCGCCTAAGTATTGATATTCATTTGCACTATTGTTTTTAGTTCTTGAATTGATTATTATACAGGAAAAGTGACGCACACCATATGCCCTCCTATTCTAAGCGGATAGCTCTCTTGTATACAAATCCATTCTGGTTTGATATATTTTATAATACGTTATTTCCACACTCTTAAGTGCCACACGATAAAAATAAATCCTTAATATTTAATAGTTGGGTATTATGTATTCATTTTTGATAAAATAGTATATTTTTATTGTTTCAATAACTCATTTTCAAGTGATAGTGATTTAAAAATACTGATTGGGTACAAAAAAATATTTTACATGAGCACCATATTAAATTTATGGCTTCCAAATCCAAGTTACGGTTGTACACTAAACCATTGTTTATACAAGGTATTATAAGAATAAATTCCATGGTTTTTTTTCAAAAGTTGATGAATCACTTAAATTAATTTTTCAGGATAACAAAACAAATTTAAAAATTCAATGGTATTATGGAAATTAATAATTTTGAAGTACGTATGACTACTTCCATAAGATTTAATTATAATTTTTTGACACGGAAAAGAAGACATTGTGTTATACTAATATACAGAGTGATGTATCAAAGATAAGACACTCATTTTTTACATGCTCTTATGTTATTACTTGATAAAGTTTAGACATTTTTGACCAATTTCCTTTTGATAATTTGATATACATCAGTTTACTAACAATTTTTGTTCTCGTATTTGCCACTTAGCAAATATAAATACCAATAATAATTTATGGCCAATTGCAACAGATTATTGTATACCGATATTATAAAAAGCAAATTATCGATGAATTTTATTTTAAACCCAAATATTTAAACGCAAACAGTTAATTGGGAAAAAAAATTTTGTATTCTATCTTATCATTAAAATAATAATAGAGGTTCCAATTGAAGAAAATTTAAGTTGAGGTTTTGAACCTTGAAGAAATGAAAATAAAGTGTTTAACTATAAATTTCGAATTCCCACACTATGTAAGTGCACACGTTGATATTGATATCATGGCTTAAATTTAATATTTATAAAGTTGCATTTCTTTTTTGAAATTAAAATTAATTAATTTTTTTCTCTTTTGACGAGCTTAATACTAATTCTCTTCCGCATGAGGCTAACACCTCTTCAGGGAAAATTATAGTGGTATATTCTATTTAACTCTAAAATAAATCATAAATACACTGTGTAAACACCCAACGATCGACATAATCACGTAAACCACTCAAGGTCAAATAGCACCGCATTTCTTTACTTTCATTACACCGTACATGCTAACATATTAACATTTGAGCTAAAAATCAACTGATAACACTAATAGAACACAAAAAAATACAACCATTAACAATCAAGAATTCTCGGTTCATTAAAAAATTCTTATGCTAGTGAATTATCTAAAACTTCTGATATCGATAATTTTCATCGTTGAAAATCGTTTTTCCTTTTTCTGACAATAGGATATTAACATGGTCGACAATTATGAAGAAAATTACCTGATAGTAATATTATTCCTAAATTACCACCAATATTTATATAAACTACTCATCTATTTACAACGAAATTATCGAATACATAGAACAATAATTTAAAATTTAAATGTTCGGTTCTTAAACCGATAGCCCTTAGGCTAAAATTAACTTTTTTTTTTTAATTCTTACAGGAATGTAGCTAAATTTCTCCAATATAAAAAAGTTTTCTTTTACTAAAACTAACCAAAAAAAGAAAAAGCTTATAAAGATGTTTTGTTACATCTTTACCCGCCGACTGATATAAAAGGGAAAGGTTTCACACTTAATACTATTACTAATGTACATCACATGCAAACTATTAACCCATTACCGATATTTTTTGTAGACCTGGAGATTTCGTTAAATAATGAAATCTTCAATAAAATACCTCTTTGTTATACATAAATAAAATTCAAATCACCTTACTTCAAAAAAACCCAGAACAGTTGTGACGTAGCATAGTTGGATCAAGTATAATGATATCTGACAGTGATTAAAATCACTATCAAAAAAAAACACTTCGATGCAAATCTTTAGATAGTGTTTAATTTTAAAAAATTGGTGGATTATTCCAAAAGCTATATGATCTGCTATTTCCTTATTAATATTCTGATTAAGATAAAGTATGGAAAATGAAAAAGGGATATAAATATTATATCTTATAAAAAATTGTGTTGAACCATACTCTTTTCAATAAGTTATAACATTATAAAGTTAAAAATGTAAAATACAAAATCGAAAATTTTAACATAAAAATAGCATTTGGTAGCCATTTTCATCGTGAAGATAAAATAAAGTCCGAAATTTTTTTTCCATAATAAAGTACATTACATTAGCTTTAATTTAATATATATATAAAAGTGTCAGACTTTCCGGAACATTTTCAAATGTCAAGTTGAAAAAATTAATTTTTTGTGAAAAAGTTGTCATTTTAAATCCCCCCCTGTGGTCAGGTAAAGGGTCAGATATAAAAAAAAATATACCAAATGATAGGTAATGATATCATGCATCTATAAAAAAAAGAATTATATTAATTTGGTTATTTTTAAAAAAGTTATGACAATTTTAAGTAAAAATAACAAATTAAACGGTAGCACAGTGGGGTCGCGGCATAGTGGAGACATTGCATAGTTGGGTTCAGTATAGATTTAATCTGACAGTGATTAAAATCACTATCATAAGAAACGCTTCGATGCAAATCTGTAGATAGTGTTTAATTTTAAAAAATTGATGGATAATTGCAAAAGCAACATCAACTTCTATTAAAATAAAATACAAAACCCATAATTATCATACAAAAATAGCATATTTTTGAATATGGTAGCCATTTGCGTATAGAAGATAGGTCGTCGGGACAAATTTTTTTTTTTCATTTTGTAGTACATAAAATAAGCTTTAATTTTATATATGTTTAAAGGACGCAGTATTTCCGGAACATTTTCAAAAATTAAGTTGAAAAAATTATTTTTTGTAAAAAAGTTACTATTTTAAATCCCCTCAGTGAGCAGAATAAGTGTTAGATTTTCAAAAAAAATTATATTAAATGAAAGGTTGGGTTTCTAAGGTTTCAATACAAAAAAATATTATGTTTATTTGTTCATTTTTGAAAAAGTTATGGCAGTTTTAAGTACAAAAAACATCCCGATAAAAGGTAATTTTTATCGCAAACATTACATTTTTTTTTTAAATTTTCGACAGCCATTTGCACATAGAAGATAAAAGTCAGTGTATTCCCCTAATAAGATATTTTAAAATAAAATAAAATACAAAACCCAGGATTTTAACACAAAAATAGCATATTTTTAAATACGGTAGCCATTTGCGAATAGAAGATAGGTCGTCGGGATAAATTTTTTTTTTTCATTTTATAGTACATAAAATAAGCTTTGATTTGATATATGTTTAAAGGACGCAGTATTTCCGGAACATTTTCAAAAGTTCAGTTGAAAAAGATCTATGTTTTTTACAATATTTTAAGTTTTGAACGCCCCCTATATAAGGGGAAATTGTCCAATTTTAATAAAAAGTATGTCAAATGAAAGATGTACTTATAATGTATTTAGAAAAAAAAAATTTGTGCTGATATATACATTTTTCAAAAAGTTATAGCATTTTTAAGTTGAAAATTTAAAATCGAAAATCGAAAATTTTAACACAAAAATAGTGTTTTTTTAACTACGGCAGCCGTTTAAATGTAGAAAAAAAAGTGTCGGGACAAATTTTTTTTTTTCATTTTGTAGTACATAAAATAAGCTTTAATTTGATATATGTTTAAAGGACGCAGTCTTTCCGGAACATTTTCAAAAATTAAGTTTGAAAATTTAATTTTTGTACAAAAGTTGCCATTTTAAATCCCCCCCAATGAGCAGGTTAAGTGATAGATTTTCAAAAAAATGATATCAAACGAAAGGTAGATATCTAAGGTTTTAGTATAAAAAAAAATTATGTTGATTTGTTTATTTTTGAAAAATTTATGGAAGTTTTAAGAAAAAAAAGTGAAAAAATTTCGAAAATTAGCGATTTTTAAATTTGTAATTTTTTTGGATATTTCCCCCATTTGCGGGGAACGNAAAAAAAGTGAAAAAATTTCGAAAATTAGCGATTTTTAAATTTGTAATTTTTTTGGATATTTCCCCCATTTGCGGGGAACGAGGGAATTTTTTTCAATTTTTAAGGGTAATGTCTTCAACTAGATACGATTTGTGATCTTTTGACGTATTTTTGAAAGAAATCGGTCCAGTGAGAGCTGAGAAAAAGTGGCAACAGACACAAAAAAAAAAACACATCTTAGTAAAACCAATACCTATAGTATAGTAATAAATACTTTTACCAAAATGGTAAAAGGATTGCCTCAAGTTTGATCTGTCAATCATGCGGCCACACAAGGAAGTATTATAATCACTTACTACGCTGCTCTTAGTGTGGTGATCAACATAACTCAAAGGCTGTACAAAGACCGTAGCTTACCTGCTAAATGCGTTCTTTGTCGGAACAACCTGACAAAATGTCTTATAGTATTTAAAAACTAAATATTTAATGATTAAAAAAGAGATAATAATGATAACTTAATTCTATATTTCGATTTATAAATACCGCGTTTCATATAATAAACGCATACTTTTAAAAAATAATAGATTTAAACAATCATAAAAGTTTAAAAATCTTTTAAAATAGTAATAACATTTTTAATAAGAATTTATGAAAATTAATTATTTAAAAATTAAACCATATTAAATAATTGTATATGAACTTTTTTTTTCAATTTTTTAAAAATTAAACAACTTTTGAAAGTTTTAAAATTACCCATTCAACTCTAAACGAAAATAAAATAATCATGCTACACGACATTTATATACACCATCGTCTACAACATTGAAAAATGTGTATGAATGCATAATTTATTCTTTTATTTCTTCTGTGCTAAAAAATTTCAAATTAAAAGGCGTGTGGCACATGTTAACTTTAATATTTGGGTCTCAAATTTTACACGCCTTTTTATAAGTATTAAAAAAGAATTAAGGGTTCCTTTAATAAAATAAAATAAAAAGTTTTTAACAACCACCCTAATACATATATATAATAAAATATTTTTGTGACATATCAGCTTTTGGATATAAGCTATAGAATTGTTTAATATTTTTATAGAAGAATATTCTTTTGTAATTAAATTAATATTTATTAATTTATTATTTTTTTTGTTGTTTTATTTATTTGAATATTTGAAAATCTAAATATTTGTTCAGATAAATAATTTACCTCCATGTATTTTATATTCGTTTTACCTCCAAAAGAGCATTTTGCCAAAATGGCCGATGCGCCGTGGTAGCCGCGCGCCTTGTTTTTATTTATTTACCCCCATTGCCGCCGCCACCTACCGCCATTCCATTATCGTGGTAAGACTTCTATGTCAAACATTGTAATTTTTATTTATATGGTACAATATAATATTTTATTGTTATTGTTATCACAGACTTTTATAAATATTTAAATTTCGTTTGAAAAACTATTGCTATACTTATTAATTAGAAAATATTTGGTATCCTGTGTACGTTATCTTTTAACTATTAAAGATAGTCGATCATTGTAGGTGTTTAAACGGTAATATTTTGTAATTTATAAGATTTATTTGTACAAATTAAAATAATATTTTTTAATGTTAATATCTCTAGTTTGGAAAAATTATTTACTACGCACAGTAAATTAAATATTTCAATTAAAATTTACATCGTAATGATAAGTGAAGATTTTGGTGTTATCAAGCAATGGCTGTATACTTAATAGTATATGAATAATTTTTCCCTATATTTTAAAGTAAATTAAATTTTTTTTATGTTGTACATATGTAAAATTAAAAAATAAGTCATTATATAAATCTTACTGTTTTAAATTAGACCTGATATTCTTATCATGTATCAAGAGATTTCACAATTGCAGTCTGATGACACTGAAGGAAGCGATGAAAATGCATGGCACAAATATGAAATTATTCCTTAACGAAAAAATCATCATCTCTGTAACTTATCTATTATATTTCTTTTAAATCATCAAAACTCTCACATAGTAAGTTCAATATGATTAATATTAGCAAAGTACTTATTAAATATCTTCCTCAACATATACTAGCATAATTATATTTTATATTATAGTATAATTGTTAACTATTTGTGAGAAAATAATTATAATGTATTCTTCAGATATAAAAAGAATTATGACTTTTTATGACTTTTTAATATTATATATTTTACATCATATTTATATTTCTACGTATGACTTATTTTCTTCTATCCATTTAAATTCAACATAATTTTATTGAGCCAACAACATGTTTAATATGAATTATTCATAATGATTTTATATAATAATATTACATTTTTTATCTAAACTGTTCTATGCAAATAATCCATGTGCATTCTAGCTACCTTTTGCTGAGAAATGCTTTTTTATATTTATGTTCAAAGACAAAGTTTATCAAAAATTAAAAACAAACAGGTAGCAGTTGGTACCCATTTACATTACATAATTTGATTAACTAATAAGGGAATATGGTATTAAAACAATAGTTGCAGTACATAAGTATGTGAATACATGTGTATTCTTATTTTGTGCAAAGTATAATATAATTTTAATATTTGAAATTGTTAAAATACTTAATTTTTAAGTAAAACATGTTAGATAATGTTACTTGCNTTTGAAATTGTTAAAATACTTAATTTTTAAGTAAAACATGTTAGATAATGTTACTTGCACTGTAATTTATTTTATATTAACTTAATTTTCTCATTTTACTTATTAAAATGTATATTAATTAAAACGATGATACAATCTATGTTTATTTGACAGTTAAAAACAATTTATTATTATATTAAATCTGTTTAATTTATTTCTTTTAGCTCCTAAAGTTCTAAACACTTGTAGAACATTAAGTGTTCAACGTGTGATGATCAAGGAAAAGCAACGTATTGAAAAAAAAACCACATCATCATCAAACTTTGGAGTTGAAGAGCCTAATGCCAGTGATGATATTCAAATGATTAAAACTCCTGATAATAATAGTAGTGACCTTCATCACGATTTAGATAGTATTATAAAGACCGAGAACGAAATGACTGCACTTATAGAAAATAGTAATGGCAATGATGTTACTGATGGCAAAAGTAGTGTTGGCCCTGCTAGCAATACATCTCCAAGTTCTTCTGGAGTTGATCAGAAATCACAGTTAATATCAAATGATTTATGCCTCAATCAAAGTGAGTTATTATAAACTATCAAATAGCAACAATAATTAACTAATTTTAGTGGAACATATTTATTTTTGATTCTGTACCTAAAATTGAAAGCTGTAATATTCTATGAGATTAAATTATAACACCCTTATCCTTTTATTGAGATAAAATTCTCATATCTCATAATGCCTTGCCTTATTTCATTTAAATGAGTAGAATTTTCATGTAATTAATTTCTTTATTTAAATTTGTATTTGTGCTCATAAAAATTTTACTTAAAACCACTATTTACTTTTTTTGTTTAAGTTAAAAAATTCATTGATAAATTAAAATAATTAGAGAAGATTAATCCATAGAGCACTTAATTAAAATTGTACAGAGTTCAAATTCAGCAGACAAAGTCAAAGTCTGCAAACATTTAAATTATTTTCTAAGAATATAATTAAGATTTTTTAAATTATATGCACTATTTTTACAGAGATTTTAATTTTGTATTTAATTAAGTTTAAATTTAAAAAAAAAAATTATTTTTAAATTAAATTGTAAAATTTATCTAGAAGTACTATATAGATATTATAATATATTTATATCTAAAGTATTATATTTTATATTAGGTATTTATATCTAATATAGTACAATATAGTGAAATAATAAATTATTGATGCCAGATTTGTTTTAATATTATAGTTAAACATGAAGATTCTGGAATCAAAGTAGAAGATAACACAAACAATACAACTAATTCTTCGACGGATACTGAATTTGGTATATATTACTTAATAATTTTATATAATTTAAATATAAAAAAGAAATCATTATTAAAATAAAATATTAATAATTATTCAATTCATTGAATGTCTAATTACTACACTGATTATAATCATTGATAATTATCAATGAGAACAAAGACACAACTCAACATTTTTCTAATATTTGCATTAATATGAAAAAATTACATTTTAAGCCAAGTTTCTTCAATTTATTAATAAAAATATTTTACCTTATCAATTTTTTTCTGATTATACATTTTATTGTCATTAGACAATATTAGAAATATATTATATTTTGTGGAAATGTTATTATTTTATATGAAGAGTAGAAGTGATCACAATAAATTTATGATAGTATCTTTTTAAGGTGTTAACAATACTGGTAATAAGCCATCAAATACAGCTGGAGGAGGTGGAAATTTGGATGCTCAACAACAACAATATATGCAACAACAAAGTCAAATATTTGTATTTTCAACTAGCTTGGCTAATAAGTCTGCAGAATCTGTCTTGGCTGGCCAGTATCCTACTATCATTGCTTATCATTGTGCTCAACCAAGAACAAAAAAATTTCTTGAGGTAGAACAATCAACAATAGGAATGAGAAATGCAGCTTTTTTAGAACTGTGTTTTTCTTTTAGAGTATTATAATTAAAATATTAAAGTATTACTCCAACTACAATTAAGTTGTATAACATTTACCAAAAACATAAATAAATAAAATAAACAACACAAAATTTTAACTAAACTGATTAGCTCAAATATATTTATTTATTTCACAGAAAATATTCTAACATATAAACTTGATTAATCGATTATTTGACAAATATAAATTGTGTTAGAAATTTATATAACTTAAGGTTTTAAAATACTAAAAGAGTTTTTAAAACAAACATTACAATAGATATTTCTTGAGTGCACGTTTGATGTGTGCTGTCGTATGTCATGATCCAGTTAAACTCTGTCAATGCTGCATCGTATTTATTGAATACGCATTCATATTGTATGAATGTCTTAATGTTGTGTTCCGAATTAACAGTGGACCCTTTTTCAAGATATTCAGACATCATAACTCCACAAATGTCCTAAAATGTAGTTTGTTGACTAAAGATTTTGTTATGAATTTTTAGACTTTGGTGATGCCTTTTTTTTTTCAGAATCAATAAATTTCTATGTCTCTAATGTTTTCCACTGCCAAAAATTCAATAACTGCACGTTGCTTCAAGCATGTAATTAGGTTGTCATTTTAACACGTATAAACATTCTTCTATTTATTCGATTGTTATTAAACTTTGAACATAAGGTGGGAAAGATTGTGGCTATAAAATGAGCAGCATACATCTGTATGATATTTTGTTCATTTGTTATGAACATGTGTATATTACTTTTCAGTATATATTATTTGTGTATATTACCTTTGTTTATCCCATGAAGTTTTTACACATCGCTTAATAAAAAGTATATGGATTTGTTAAAACTTTATGAAACACTATATTTATATCAAAAATTATATAATTTAAAATATTCTAATTCTTTTTTTTATTCTTCTCTCTTATAAAATTTATAGAAACATCCCTTAAAGGTAAATCAATTCAACCGTCAAAATCCCGGACAATGGATGAACAATGTAGTCACAAATCAGCAACAAATGAAACAGCAAAATAAGGGTATGGGTCCACATGGTGGTCAACCTAAATATGGAGGAGGCAATGCTCCATATTCGAGGATGATGAAAAATAGCAATAGCCCATCAGGTGGTAGTCCAATGGATGGACCTATGATGCAGCCTGGGGCAAGAATGCCAATGTGGAACAATCAAGTAAAAATCATTAATTATTTTTAAATAATAATAATTACTAATATTAATAATCAAATAATATTAAGCAGTGAAAATAAATTGATTTTTAATTTTTTTGTAACATAAAAATATGTTACTTTTTAAAATCAAACATACAGATTATCATTTTAAAATAATAATTATAATTATTATAATGTATAATACTAATAAATTTTTAATATTGTAAAACCTTATAAATAATTTCAAAATAGTAATTATTTTTATATAACTGTTGATTCAAAATTAAAAATATTATATTAGTATATATTTATACTAAAGTATGAGTTTTTTAATTTTTCAAACACAATATAACATTTATTTACCATTATTTATAGGGAAATCATGTAAATGAATCTGGCTCTCCTCAACAAATGCATTCTGGTAATCATAACAGTCTAATGAGTTCAATGTGTGGTAACAGCAATAGTGGTATGATGAGTATGCCGAATCATCTTGGTGGAGGTGGACCTATGGGACCTGGAATGATGATGAATCAACAAGGTTTGTTATTTTAATTTAAAACTATTAATTTTAGCTTCGATGCGAAGCTGAGAAGGTATTAATTTTACTATGATGTGTTTTTTTTTTTTTTTTTTTTTTTTTTTTTTTTTTT